CCTTACCCTCATGAGGTACATACATAATACGAGTTTAAAAAATCAAAAAAAGAATAATTTTCAGGTTAAAATCTCAGTAAAATGCTTGTATGAATACCCTCGTAGAACTCTACTTATTTTATTTATTTATTTGCTTGTCATATTTTAGTATGGTTACCATTGTGTACATGATTAAGCTACTATTAAGTACCTATTTCCAATTACAATCAGCGAGAAACTAACAAAACACTCGTTGTGTGATGGTTGAACTTGGGTTGTGAATGTTTTCGCTTACAAACATGTAAGTATGCTTTACTGCCACCTAGCGTCGACATCACGCACTGCTTCAATAGCATTCACAGCAGCTCACGTCTTGATATTGGTACGCAATTAAGTTTCAAGTTTGGTGGCTAGATGGCGCTTTAACGTTTACGCGATATTTTACAGATGACGTTACATCTCCATCCTTAGCTCTATGTCCAGATTTTATGGAAAAGTATAAATAATAAAACAAATTGTAAAATAATTCAATAATTCACTAAATTGGAACGTGGGTCACAAACCGAGCTTTCATTTTTTGGGATATTGTTAAAAAGCTTTTAAACTTTTAGATATATGCATCTTTGTATAAATAAATAGGTTCATGCTCAGTTATGTGAGTAAAATAGAGGTATCTATCTAAATTAGATAAATTTTATTTAATTAATTTAGTAAAAATAGGCTGAACTAATAAGTTATGTAATAATATTTATTCTATCATAAGTATTTATTTACTTAAAATAATTCCACGATCGCAAAATAGAAATGTAAAAACTATATCATGTTTATTAGGTTAGGATATTGAAAGAGATTTTATCGACTAATTTCCAATATAGGTTTTCATATTAGCAGCGGGTACCGACGGAATTAGTATTATCCACTTCCAAAAGCTTATCGCAAATTATCTCCTGCAACACCTAATAGATAATTTATTTATAGCCATTGAGTTATAATGTAAATATTACTTCAATGTTTATAGCGTATGTTTTATGAACTCGCTTTTTCTCAATTAGCTTGTACAAGCAATCCAATTAGGTGCAAGGTGGAAACCTGTTAAGGCCAATACTTTCATCTTTGATTAAAAACTGATTTTTAATTTTATTATCCTTGGGTTATTGATAATAATATAACAGAGATATTTATAATATGCAAGCAATAGCAGAAAGTCAAGAAGATTTACAAACGATTAATTACTATCTAACATTCAGAAGCTGAGTTGCACCACCTAGCTTTGACTGTAACTTTAACGATAACCGGTGCTTTTTGTATGGAGTTTGATTTTTGACGTTTGTTAAACTGCTGGATGGTGCACAGCCTGAGACTGTTGCAATTAAATCTCTCTACAACTTAGATACGACTTAGTTCTCTATTGGTGACCACGGGCTGGAAGACGTAGTGTGGGCAGGCCTCCCACTAGGTGGACCAAAGATCTGGTGAAGGTGTGACCTTAAGTACCTACCTGGATGAAAATCCTTGGGGGAGGCCTTTTTTCAGCAGTGGACGTCATTTGACTGAAGCGATCTACAGATAATTAAAATTTCTCTAAGCTCAAGGTACTATAAAACGGGACTATTCCCACCTCTCGTTCCCACCACTGCAACTCCTGTGTAGCCAGGATCTACAGCTTGACCGTCACAAAAACCCAACCAATGAAGGTCAAGTTTGTCCCGGTCCCGGTTTGTCAAGATACTATAACTTGGAAAATCTATAAATTAATTCTGTGATGTGACAATTCAGGATTTTGTGTAATACAAAAGTTAACGTTACACTTAACCCGCTCACCACCACAAACAATGTAACCATTAAATCCGCCTAACGATCACATAAACATCACCATCACATTCCCCGATGGTCGCAATCGTGACACAATAAAAAGCAAATTACTCCATGAAAGCGAGTAGAATCCAACCCAGCACTTTCCATGGAACCGGTTGACATTTGTTTGTACCATTTTTCACAGTGGATCAAATATTTCGCGCAAGATTTTTTGCAGTGATTTTTACTAATTTGAACTACCAAAGTAACTACGAGTCTGTTTTAAATCGAATTTGTATCAGGCCATGATGACAAATGCATAAATACTGAATTGCATTGGAATACCATGATACAATAAATACAGTTTTCGTTAACATATTAACATTATACCAGTAAATGGGGCTAAGGTAATGTGTTTAGGATGTGGCTACAAACCATATAATAAGGAATCTACCTTATTAAATTGGTTTGTAGCCTCATTACTCGTTAATTAATAAGTACAAATGGTGCGCATCATTGCAATTACCGCTCTTTTAATAAATAAGCCTACATTGTGTTAAAAGTATTGCTTGATATTTATTAATGATTCCAACTAACCTACTAACATAAAATGTCTAGCAAACGGCCAGCCGCCGTAACATACATAAATGTTTTAACGTCTGTAACTCCTGGTTTTCTCGTAAATGGCCATGCTCATCGTACTAACGTGGCTTTCAACGGATTACAACGAGAGCTTATTTAGTTCGTTCGTTCATATCAACCAGTGATATCTACTGCTGGACAAAGGGGAATACTTTTTTGAGAAGTAGATATCACTCCTACTCCACTAATCCTTTGACAACGACCGGTCCTGCACTGATGGAAAATAAAGCATTGGGGGAGGCCTATGTTTAGCAGTGGANAAAAAAAAAAAAAAAAAAAAAAATGCTCCGAGGAACCGGTCTCAACCACCACAACCAGCGTTATTATTTCTGCGCTCCCCGCCCCCTTCGTCTCGCTCTCCCGCTCGCGCTGCACCCCGCATCGCGCCGTGTCGGCGTACGGTATTCAGGGTCCGCACAGGGTTGCTACCCCATACCGTCCGGCACAATGATGATGATAATGATGATCCTGCACTGAACGGGTTTGACGCAGAATGAGCACTTCGCAAAATTTTCACTTTTCTATGTATCACTAAAATTATTGTACAAACAAACTTTTCAGATTTAACTATGGAAAAGTGCGCATTTTTGGAAGTGAGCATTTTGAAACGTGCACAATTACACATTCTGCGTCAGTCAGGAACTGACACAATCACACCCTGAACACATCCAGGTGCTTCTCGCGACCTTCACCAGATCGTCGGTCCAACGAGAGCGGTTTAGGTAGAAAAAAGATATAAAATATCTGCCTAAACTGGCTGATTATTGCGCACGACTGAGATTTAACCTCTGACTTAAACTTGGCAACTATCACAAACGCAGAATAAACATTGTTTAGGAAAAAAACTAAAATATTGCTAATAAAAGCGCCTCTTTGATACAAAATTCCGTACATATTTTTTGTTATTTTCTGAACATTTTTTGGAATTATTCAGAATTTAAATCTTCTGGAGATTTAGGGCTGATTTTTCAATCGTCGGATAACTTTTATCTGAAGAATAAACTTGTCATTTTGACATATTTTCCATACTGAAGCTGTCAATGTACCAAACTTATTCTTCAGTTAAAAGTTATCCAACGATTGAAAAATCGGCCCTTAGAGTAATAACGACAAAATATTATGAGTATTGTAAACTAGAAAATAATTCTTAAGCGACAAAGATGTATTGGCAATAGTCGCATTTTATTTTAGTATGCGTTCATTTGATTCAAGTCAAATGGATGCCTGAACGAAACTAATTAGCTCATGATTAGTTGGTAAATTTATCGAATTCAGTTGCTTGCACGCAGAATTTATGTATTCTCTTGATTTTACTCGCGGTCAGTCGCTCAGTCTGATATAAAAACATTACTTATTTCGTCTACGTAGGTACATATTGTGATTACAAACACTCTACATTTTTGTGCTGTATTTTGCCTCTTTTTGAGATTTTAGTAATTTATAAGCCTCTAATAGGATCGACTTATTTCCTAGTTTTATTAATTGGAATTAGTTCGTCGTTCAAAATGTAAAAAACACAGACTTATAAGCATTCGCGTTAATAAATAATGGTAGAATCAAAATGAGAGTTTTGAAAACCATATTTGGTTTTTCAGTTTGCATAGTTAAGCTCAATATCAAACTAGTGATTTTATGAATCGTCAGTTTGAAATCAAATTAGCTGGAACATAGAAAGTGACTTTACAATTCTATGATCGATTTGGGCACTTTTTGCAGTCAGCTAAATTGTCAGAGTTTTTAGGTGTCCCTTCGAGATTGTGTAACTAAGTGTAACTTTTACTTATTTTGTTAAGCAGGTAGGTACTACTGACGTTTGATGCTCCGAGAGATAAATCGATAGAACAGATAATTTTGTTTGATAGCTTCATAACAAACATTATTATACTTTAAGCTTTTTTATCTTTGAATAGTTACTGCATTACAGAAATTATTAAATTACCTATTAGACGCTATTATTACGGTACTCATAATATTATTCTCGATTTCGGTACAGTAGTACTGACCATAATGTAACCAGATGAACTAAAGTAAACTCAAAAAAATTCATGGTGTAACTCTCGATACAAATGTCACTAACATTTGATTGAACCATGGAAGTTAAACAGACTGGTGAAAATGAAATTCTCACATCATGAGAAAAGGACGCAAATGATCTACTTTCCAAATGATAATAAAATCTCAACTCAGGACAAATGTTTCTTCCAACTGATTATATCTAAAACTTTCTCAAAAGCATATCTTTGAAAGTACTCGTGAATTTGAATTCGTTATTATGCACTTGCTGACAAAAATAAAGCAGTTTTGGTAACATTAACTATTGCGACAAGACTTGCAAAGCTACTAAGTAGAATGACTTGTAAAAATAGTTAATATGTTACATGTTATATCACACATTGTAGATTGTGTACACAATAGACAATAGACGTAATCCTAAGGAGATGCTAGGCTACATTAATAAGTAGGTTTGTGAACAAAAACAATAGAAAATCCATTAAGTATTTAGATCTGCAGGCGCTGTTCGCTCTATATTAAAATTTTCGCAAAATAAGCTTTATTAACGAGGAATAGAAATTGTAATCACTTACCAGTCAAACTCATTTGTCCAGCCTTCAACAGCAATTCGTGACGAATCCAGCTCTTTCTTCTTCAGACCGTGACGTCATTAAATCTTGAACTATGTTCCGAGCCGTAGTCCCATTCTTGGTCACGTTCCTTGTAAAAGCGCTCATTTCAAATTACAAGAGCACCATGTTTAATTTCCGCATCTCATGCTTTAACCTTTCCAAAGGTTCACCGAACATTTTAACTGCCGTTACAAAATCATCAATTCCGTTGACTTCAAATTTTACATCTTTTATTGGTCGAGCATCCATTTGTTACTCAAATATGCGTTTCGTAATCTTCCCTGGTGATTCACGGATAAAATTTACTTTTCCTTTCATCTAATACCAGTATGGTTCTTATGGTAGTATGTGCTTTAATACGTAACACTCAATTTTATTGGAGATAATTGACACGTTCACGCACCCAATTTGTAGAAATGACTGTCTTTTTCAAGGTTCGTTTATAATTTGTGTATTCTTGAGGGACATCACTCGTCACTATTCGACAGCATTGAATTTTCACTTGCTGGCCTCTCTGATAGGTCTATCAAATTATTCATTGCAACAAATTCTTACATAACCATGTTAATTGTCTCATTCCTTATTCGCAATTGTCATAAACTCGTCCAGTTTATCGTTGCCATCTTAATGAGTTTCTTCAAACGCCTCATACAATGAAATCACAGTGAAAACATGCGTGTAATTTGTATAATTTCCTTTTGCGATTTGCTATGTTTTTACTTTCCACTTTAGCTGTCTCTGGTGATGTATTGGAGTGGCTGTAATAAAAGAAACATAATATGATCAGTTTTACTTTCTTTTGTGTATTCATCATCGCAAAGCTTTTCGTATTAATTTCATAACAAATAGTTACAATTTGATAGTATAATTAATTAAAATCCATAATTGCAATACGAGTAATTATAATTAAGTTCGTAGGAAGTTTAGTTTCAAATAAATTTAGTATACCAAATTCGATTATTTAAAAATTATAAGTCATATTAATAATTATTATGACGTTAATTGTTGTATAATATTCTAAGAACGAAACGTTGAAAACGTTTCTAACTTTCAAAGTCGAAAGATTAACTTGTTTCGTGATGATAACCACCATTATCTAGATAATGGCCGCCGCAGTTTCTATAAGAATAGCATCTGTGTCCGTATTGTTGTTTTCAAAATAGTCCAATTTGTACAAATTTTGCTTTCAGTTATTTTTACTGCGAATGAATGAATGTGGGAATATTTTTGAATGGATCTAACACTTTGGTTTTTGTACGCGTAATAGAATTTTCGTATTCTCAGAGTTACTGCAAAATTGACATGAATTTGAGACTAAAAATGAGTTTCTAAAAAGAACTAGACAGCTTTTTTCGAAATAACAATCTCTCCTTTCTTACTGCGAACGATTAATTATTATCATTATTAGAAGTTGTATCATTTATGAAATGTATGTAATGTAATGTAAGTACTCGTATTCAATACTGTCTCTCATAAGATTGAGCTATTATAATCCCCACCCCATATAGGATGTATAGCATAATTACTATAATTACAATTTCTGATTTGCTCTATCTAATAATTAACCAGCCAATTATGTTTATCATGAAACAGTGTAGTCAATTAGCTAATCATGAGATCTAATTATCCGACTAAGTTTTAATACTTTAATACTTGCTTTTTCTCATCAAATTATAATGATAGAGACATTAATGATATTTTCTATATTGTAAATATTTTCGTTCATTGTTTGTTTTACGTCTAGTTGCTTTGTCATATACGTTTTAGCATCTGGGGCAGCGAACGCACGACTTGCTCAAAATTTGGGTCAAAAATAATCACTTTTAAAAGAAATCGAATATACTGTGGTGTTTTAGTCACGAGGATCGATTAAGGCTCGCAAAAAGGTGTAAGTGATGAAAACATGATAATCATATTGGCTGTATCAAGTCTGTGCGTCGAGACACTAATGAGGGTTTTGATGGCAAGTAATAAAAGTTGATTAAGACGTCCGCTCATTTACATTCAATGCATTTTATGGCATTGGTTATTATTATTCCTCTTAGTTATTTCCTGTTTAAGGTGAAATTTTCAGACCGCACAAGCAATTTCAAAAGTTTGTGTCCGTTTCTTATCTTCACACTAAGTAGTGAGATTATTTTTTTTACGAATACCGCCTACCAGATACTTCGGTTTATTTTACATGAATTTGTAAGTTTGTACATAAGAAATACAAACAATTTTTATGTAGAGTTAGAGTCACATCCTACTAATCCCAACTAATCCCAACTAATATTATAAATGCGAAAGTAACTCTGTCTGTCTGTCTGTCTGTCTGTCTGTCTGTCTGTCTGTCTGTCTGTTACGCTTTCCCGCTTAAACCTCGCAACCGATTTTGATGAAATTTGGCATAGAGATAGTTTGAGTCCCGGGAAAGAACATAGGATAGTTTTTATCCCGGTTTTTGAAACAGGGACGCGCGCGATAAAGTTTTTCTGTGACAGACAAAATTCCACGCGGGCGAAGCCGCGGGCGGAAAGCTAGTATATTATAAATGCGATAGTTTGGATGTCTGGATGTCTGTTACTCTTTCACGCAAAAACTACTAAACGGATTTTGATGAAACTATACAGTATTCTTTTTTATAACCCAGATTAACATATAAGCTATAATTTATGACGATCTGTGACAAACTAAATTCCATGCGGGTGAAGCTGCCGGCAAAAGCTAGTAAAAAATAAGTTATAAAATTAAGCCCCCCCCCCCCCATTCCAATAGGAGGGGGGGCACATATGGGTGCATTTTTGTCGATAAAATTGACATTTCAACATCACCTTAAATTATCGCTAGCCCTATCCCAAACACACTGTATAAAAGACATTCCAAAACAACGACTTACAGTTACTAATAAAGCCAGTACATTGTCGCATTTATCTAAAAGAGCTGTATCTAAACAACTTGTTCTGCGGTCCTTTCACTGAGCATTATGGTAACAAACTTAATATGCACTTGGCGCAGTGCATCGTCCCACTTTGCAGCTTTCTAGGGACACAATGGGACGGAGTTATTTCTTGATGGGTTCTTCGATTTTAGTATGCATATTTTATGGCCGTCATATCGACCCATGAATCTACTGGATTGTTATTTTGCCATAATTTCTGAAGAGGTTCTCAGAATAGTACCGTAGATGCCATGTTGTTGAGAAGAAAATCAAATGATGGAGTGACTTTTGGATTGGACAATATTCACTTCGAGTGGTAACGATATTGTTAATTTTTAAGTCGAATGTAGGCAAAGAAAAACAAACGTCTTCACACAAATGGTAATCATCGTCTTACTTCCAAATTACCTACTTCAATATTAGTAAAGAGAAAAAAAATTATACGGCTAAACTAAAGGTATGTTCACAATTTTATTTTTCCATGGTGTTGGAAAAAATTGTAACATTTATTATCAGTCCCACAATGAGACAACAGTGGCCTGAGGATGCCCCAGCTAGACCGTACCTCATATTATATTATGTCCCACGCCTTGCGCATGGCATACATAGGTACGAGTCATCAGTGTAAATAGTAATGAGTTAAGTATTTGATATAACTCGTTGGTTCAGAACAAAATATTATGCTAAAATTACGTAAAATTTTAAATGTTTATAAACTGTTCGATTAAAAACATTTTAGTGTCGCAGGAGAAATTTTAAGCTTCATTAAGTTACTAATGAAGAGAGACATTTTGTTACCAAATGGCATTTATTTATTGTATGCTTAAATACATTTTTTTTAGTTATTTTTGCATCATTTAAGTGGTAGTTAACAGTGTATCGTTTAATGGCTATCTTTATTTTCTTAATTGATTTGTTATCTTAATTAGTTGAAAGCAATATCATTTTATTCGATTCAACAAATGTTACCAAAAATATTTGTTTTTAATAAACCAAATATGTTTTTATAGATTTTTATCGTTTTATTGATATTGTGCACGTAATTTATTTCAATAAAAACGTTGCTTATTTGCAATAGGGACAATATTATTTGATCCTCTAAAAACTAATTGATCTTTTTTGTATGTGCACTTTTAAAAATAAATGATGTTTTTTATTATATTTTATCTTTATATTAATTATTGGGTCTATATTAGTTGATCTACGGATAAATTATGAATAATCTTCATTAAAGGTAACATAATATTCATGTTTAATATACTCTTTTAATATTCGGTAAACAAAAATAATATTTGATCCTCTTTTTTAGTTATTGATCTTTAATTTTGTTAATTTGATGATTTTTATATCAAGTTTGCCTTTTAATATTGATCACCTAATAAATACATTTCGATCTATGTATAACTTAACTTTAAAATATATTTGATCTAACAAAAAATATTATTGGTTAATATTTTTAATTAAAAAATATCTTTTAATTTACGCGGTACTTTGTGGTTGAGTGACAATCGTCCGTCATTGGTTACTGAGTTGGCCAAGGGCTTAGCGGCCAATAAGCAAGCAGAATGGTACATTGCCATGTTTGTTTAAATTACAAGCTTTGCTTAGTTTGGGACTAGAGGCGCTATGTAAAATAATTTCTTACTTCTGACATCCCTGAACCCGACATCATAATTTTTACCTCTTTATTTTTTTCAAATCGCAAGGTTGATTTTCTCTTAGTATACCGATCTCGACCGTGATCAGTGACCATAAAGTCATCTGTCAACGGGTCGATTAGACACGATAAAAGCACTAAACGATATTTGTTTACTTTTAGTGCGACATCGGGTCGTAAGGACCTGATAAGTTTTTTTTTCCAAATATTTACTGTGTTTGACGAAACAATTGCAAAACAATATTTATATTTCGTACTACTGAAAAGACCGAATATATCATCCCGCACCAACGCATCCAGCACCTAAGGTCAATTTGACCCGATAACGCAGTGTGAACGTGTTAAGTATGCTTTTTTAATAATAAAAAAATCTTTAAACATCAAGTGCCTTTAAATAGTTTCCATCCTTTGACTACAACTTAATAAAAATAAGTACCATAACATAATTATTTTGAAGATTATTTGATATAGACAAAAAATAATTTATACAAATCGAATTATTTAAAAAAGTATCACAATATTGAATATTTGGTGCTCATTTCTTTTATTTTTGAGGACCAACAAGTAACGATCAGATATAATTTTTACATCTCAATTTTTTTTTGCGTAGTTCAAAAGAGGTTAAAATATCGATCGATTTCATTTATTTTATGTCTCAAAGAAAGAGGATCAATCATTAAAATAGATGACCATTTAGATTTTTTTATTTGCCGTTTTTGTTAATTTAAAAAGATCATTTAAATACATGCCTTTGCAATATGTTAGTTACATTTTAAACCAATAATATTTTTGTTGTATGTATAACATTATTTTCTTCTAGAAAATTGATTGATAAAGTATGTATTTGAAAAAGATTTTACTATACCTTTGTTATATTTTAATGGGTGTCTTTAGATTTTAATTTTTTATTTATTTATAGAATCCTACTGTGAAAAATTTAAATCTTTTCCTATTATTATGATCGGTTATTTTAAAGTTAAAGTTGCGTCCAAGTAATTTGGCTTAAAATATTTCTTTTACAGGTGTTCTATTAAATACAGAGTGAAATTGTTAGAAAGTAATTTAATCGATTTACGTAAATATTTTTTTTTTTCATATTTAATTATTTTTTACGCTGCGCGCGGTTTCCTTAATGTCACACGTGGATAATTTACTTTTTTCTTTAAAAAAAATACGTACAC